TGTGCATTTGCATGTTCATTTAACAATCTGGGTTGAAAAAGGTTGAGAAGGCAGAGAGAGAGAGAGAGAGACAGAGAGACAGAGAGAGAGAGAGCTTACACACACACACATGCAAAGAGAGAGAAATGTGTCCAGAGAGATACTCTCAGACTTGACAAGATGAATTATGTGTGTGTGTGTGTGTGTGTGTGTGTGTGTGTCTAGGTGTGTGTAGGTGTGTGTGTGTGTGTGTACTTGTACAGTGACAGGCCTTTGTTCAGTATTTATGAAGTGAGGGGGTAATGTGGAGGTAATGACTGAGAGCTTGTTGTTTACTGCCGGAGATCGCGGGTTTAAAAAAACGAATGAATGTGAATGAACGTCTGGGTGTGAGCGTGTGTGTTTGTTAAATGCAGAAAAAGCACGTTCTCACTTGCACGTATATTATTGTAAAGGTGTGGGAGGTATCACGAATACAGTGACGATCACTGGAGCTGTCGAGTGTGTGGCTGTGTGTATTTCTATGTTTGTGGGGACCCAACAGTATTTTAAGTGAGGATTTTTGGAAAGGTCAATAATATCTCTTCAAATATGTGGAACGATATGTTTTGAAAGGAGTTTGGTATTGAGGTTAGAATAAGGTTCATGTTAAGGTTAGGCGTTGTGTATGTCTTATTAGTGCAATATAACAGGTTCAAAGGATCATTACAGGGATTGGGAACAGACCCCACTGAATCTTTACACACACGCACACACACACACACACACACACACACGTGGGAATGACAGGGCAAAGCAACGTCTCACTCCGGAGATGAAAGCAGGTAGTGTCGTAGGCTCGGGCGTTACCCCCCCCAGCTAAATACAGGTGAGGGAGAAGATCATTAGTGATCATTAGGACACACTACCTTGGTGGGAACTGGACAAGTGCAGTTTACAGAGAACATTGCAATAGGTTTGATGAGTATTTAGCAGTTTGACTGAACACATATTCGATTATTGATCAGTACTACATTGGGCGTCTGACAAGAATTGAATTCGATGTGACATTTTCATTTGTCAGAGCTCTAGAGTGTCATTACAGGTCTGTATCTGACAGGAACAAGGGGGGATTTACTGGATTCTTGTTCCCGTTTGAACATCGAAATGATCAAAATACATGAGTTTAATACTTTCAGCAGAGCGCTAAATAAATCTTGTACCCAGACACTTGTAAAAACCTATCCTTGACAGATGGATGAATAGAAAAACAGATCAGCTTTATGAATACCAAGCAGGAACCTGTGTTAGTCACTAAGGTGGAAAAGAGAGACAACATAATCCATAAGTCCCCCACTGTCAAAGAACAACACATAGAGGACATGTACCCGCCAAACCAGTATGTACAGTATGTCCAGTAAAAACTCTTACATCATGAAGCCCACTAGTGTCATTGGTATGGATTTGATTTCAATCAAATTAAAGAAAATCAATGCAAAAGGTTCGTGATGAACTGTGGAACAATGAGACCATAACGGTGTAAACTGTTTCTAATGGATTACTTCATATTAGTTCCATTTGTCCAAAGCTTTGAATGATATATGGCACAAAGACAGCGCAATTAAAACATGAGAAACACTCACTGTAATGTTTTTCTCTCGTAAGCATACTAGAAAGCAGTGCATACAAACTTGATGATGTAAACACATCATCCACCAGTATAATATCAGGAAACGTCGGATTCACTCTCCTGCACGATGACAAATGACTAGCAATCAAATACAGCGTTTGATACCAACATTCTGCATTGACAACTTCGACCATTTGATTGGCTGAACTGAGTGGTTCCCGATGATCATCTTGTCCTAATCCGACAAGAAAAGAAAAAAACACTACACTTGTCGCAAATGGATCCAGTCCCATTGTTCAGTTCCCACGACATTGTTACGTTGTTGAAACACCTCTTCGGTTTGCATACTATAGTACGTGTCTTCACACTGCTCTCTGTAAACAGGAGCAACAAGAGGAAGGTCCTCCCTGCAACAGCTGATGTCCAACACTGCAGCTGAGGGACTAGTGACATCAGCTGCTAACAGGCTCAGCATTTCTCCTTTGAGGTAAAAAAAAAAAAAGCAAAAAGCAAGACAAAAAAAAAAAATCGACCATATGATGCCAATATGCTTTACCCAGTAACTGATGCAGCACAGAAAACAACACTACAGGTCTGATGAAATAGTCCTGCGAGCTATTCACTCTATTTGTTGGAACAAAATAAATAATAATAATTATCAACCCTAATAAACTCTAATTGGTCAAAGCAGAGAGTTGGCAACGGAGACTCAAAAAAGCTGACTCAGCATGTCTGGCTCTTCTTCAATTTCCATAGCAACACATTCATCCCCATTTACAAGCCTAATACATGACGTGGGCTGTTCCGTTTAACCTGTGTGACTTCTTTAATAACTGTGTGTATGCGTGTGTGTGTGTGTGTGTGTGTGTGTGTGTGTGTGTGTGTGGCGGTACTACATTAGTGTGTCACTCAAAGTCAGATTTAACTTTTTTTGCAAGACCCCTGCTCTTTGGGTGAGGGGGGGGGGGAGCTGCACACACACACACACACACACACACACACACACACACACACACACACACGCTCACACACACCACTGTTAGAGGAGATTAATTCACACTTTCATCACCAAGTCTTGGTCCCAGGGGAGCCTCGAGGAGACTTGAGCAAAGTGACTGCGGGGGACTGCAGAGGGTAATGGGTTATAGGTGTGAGTGTGTGTGTGTGTGTGTGTGTGTGTGTGTGTGTGTGTGTGTGTGTTCCCTCTGGCAACAAAAGCTGGGAACAAAGTGAAGTGCTTTTCACACTGGCTCCTAAAACAAACACAAACCGGCCTCCACTAAAGACGCAAGTGTGTACATTTCTGTGTGTGCCTGTGTGACCGTGCACGTGGTTCCATGATTGTATTCCTTTTCTGTAAGGTTCGCACTCTTTCTGCCACACAACTTCTGAAATATCAAATACATTTTTCATTATGTCATGCAAAATTCTAATGTCAAACATGTTCTGGTCCTATAGCTTTTCCAGTGTGAGGACTGGCTGCTCTTCTCTGATTCACGACACTGTAAAGTTTCCATTTCAAGCTGGTTCAAGACGTCCGTTTGGCTCTTTAGGAAGTAATAATAAGCATTTGTCTAAAAAGAAAAAAAAAAAACAGAATCCTATATTGCAGCATGTCTCTTTTGTATGTGGGCTTTCTTTCTTCATGTACTAGGCATCAAAATTGCCCTGCAGGGACCGGTAAACTTTATTGAGTGGATTGAAATGGAGTGTTAAGTGTTAGTGGAAATGTCACGGGGGGTTTGGATTCCTGTTCATCACCATGAATGAGTGACTGCTCACTACTGTTGCACTCCATCACACCAAAGCGCTGCGCAGCTTTAATCAATGGCTATAGCTGGCCTGATAAGTCTTGTTGGACTGAGTAGGCGGGGGGGGGGGGGGTTGAACGCAGGTGGCAACACCTTTGTTAGCCTGATTGTTCATCGCATCCGTCTTATCGGGAAACACCACTGAACTAAGAGGAAAAAGTTGCCGAGATGGGCGACGCAAAACATAAGCTCACCTGAGACAAATACTGTGTATTCTTCTCAACAAGTCACAACATGATGTAAGAAAAGCTGGCAGTGAGGTGAGCTCACGTCTATTGTTTCTTCTGCAATGCTTTTTTATTTTTTTTATTTCACATGAATCCAGTGTTTCTTTATGATATTGACACCTCCTGAAATGTGAAGAGCTGCTGGCATTTCTCAGTTACATATGAGTGTGTATTGAATATTTGGGGATTTCTTGGCTGCTATCCAACAATAAAGTTGACATTTCATAGATATATGAACTATATATTCAAGGACCAAACACACTTCTCTACTAGGTGTGCATTACACAACACTACGTGTGACATTATATATAATATAAAAATGAACGAATGTACTGAAACAATATTTGAAAGGTATCTAGTAATTAATAAAAAATGTAAAGTTAATAGCAGACCTAGATTTCGCACCTTAATACTTCTTCTAGGAAATGAAACTGCAATAAAAGCAGGTATATCTATCTCACCATTTTTCAAGATTTGTGTGTAAGATCTATTCCAGGTTGAGTCAAAATGACTACCGAACATTGTACGCAGCACAGTGATGCTGATGCTATCACATTTCCTGTCTATTTGCCACATTACAGCCACGTCTTACATCACGACCACAGACAAGCCAATGCATGGGGATGCACTGCATAGCAAGTAAACAAGGCTCTCCATCCCTTATGAAAGCTCACACTGTTGCAGCCAGGACTGTGTGTGGCAACGACAGTATCAAAGCTCAGGTGACCCGCTCAGGTCTGCCTCTCTTCCTCTCTCAGTTTAGTGTGATTACACCTCAGTGCAACACAGGAAAGACACCCTCATTATGAAACCAAAATGAGTGTTACATCAGGGAATATAACAGTGATAACTCAGCAAAACAATCAATAGAAAACAATATGCATCTGTAATCAAGCCACAGCAGTGCACTATTACTTTTCCATGTCCCATAATTTGGTCTCTGTGACCAAGTTTGTTCCATGATCCTGGTTATCAAACAATCTCTGCTACAATCAGTGTCACTGCGTGGAAATCCAGAGCGCAGTCTATACATCTGCATCTGTGTAACCAGACAGCAGCTGGATATCTCACGCTGAACACACTGTTCCCCATTCCCAGCAAACATCAGAGATGAACATCTTCCACTGCATCCTGCTGCTATAGGCTAGGTTACTCGGCAGCAGCGTGCAGAAGAGGCAATTTTAAAGTTGTTATTGTGTTCTGTGTGCAGCCTACGGGATGGAAAATGGGCTCCTGGCTGTTCGGACACTGTTTGAATGGTATTGTGGGAAGTGTTTCTTTCATAAAAAGGGTGAAACATTCAAACACTGTTAGCTGTGTTTGGTGATCTTTAGAGGGACACAGGCACATATGGATGGTGGGAAAGTAACCAACCTTGACGGGGGAGCTCCTGATGGCCACGGGCAGCTCTCTGATCGCACTGCCCGGGGGAGAAGCGCATATCCCGGCTGCGTACCCCTGCAGCGAGCCCCCGGCCAGGGACTGCCTGCCCCCGGGTCCTCCTCCTCCTCCTCCGCTCCCTCGCTGCGGCCGCTGCTTAATGCCGTCCAGGAGGCGAACCAGCAGGATGTTCGCCGGCAGGTCGTCCACCCCGCAGTCCACCAGGATGCGACACTCCGGGCAGCGGAGTTCGTTCCGGGAGCTGACGATGTTTTCCAGGCAGCGGCGGCAGAAGGTGTGCTGGCACGGCAGCACCTTGGCCGTGGTGTCCAGGCGCTCCAGGCACACCGAGCACTCCAGCAGATCCAGCAGAGACGAGGACTCGTCCATGTCCGCGGAGAGGGTAAGCATCTGGGCTTTCAGTGTTCGTGGGGATGCCGCGGTGACTGGTTCGTGTACCGTAGAAATGAGCCGGGGGCACAGCACATTCTGGGAAGCGGACCGGCGGGGAAGCAGCCAGACGGACGCCCCGCGATAGAGTCCCCCTTGCGCGTTGCACTAACGACCGTGTTGTGGATGTTCTCCGCTGTTCCGTAGGCTACCTCTAGCTGTCTCCCGCAACGTGTTTCTCTCTCTCTCTCTCTCTCTCTCTCTCTCTC